CATCTTGCATCTTCCCTGCCCCAGTCCTAAAGTCAGCCAACTTCCAAGGAGTCCTGGCTTCTTTTATTGGAGTATGAGATGGTATTAGAGGAAATCTGGGTGCTGTGTGTACTCACTGTTACTGGGTGTACTCACTGTTACTGGGTGTCCCCTTGGCAGGCAGAGTTAACAAACAAATGTGTCTTTTTCATAGTGGTTTGAGTTCCTCTCCATATACTTCCAGTAGGGGGATTGCAGGATCATACGGGAGGTTGATTTTTAGTTCTTTTAGGAATCACCACACTGTTTTCCACAGAAGTTGTACTAGTTTACACTCCCACCAACAGTGTAGAAGTGTTCCCTTTTCACCGCATCCTCTCCAGCATCTGTTGTTTTTGAGTTATTGATGATGGTCATCCTGACTGGAGTTAGGTGGCATCTCAGTGTGGTTTTAATTTGCATTTTTTGATGACTAGTGAGGCTGAGCATTTTTTCATATATCTCTTGGCTGCTCGTATGTCTTCTTTTAAGAGGTGTCTATTCATAAAGATACCTGCACACACAAGTTTATTACAGCATTATTCACAATAGCAAAACATGGCACCAATCATGCTGCCCACTGAAAGAGAACTAGATTTTGAAAAAAATGTGGTACATATACATGATGGAATATTATGCAGCCATAAATAAGGACAAAATTATGAACTTCGCAGCAACTTGGATGGACTTACAGTCTATAATACTGAGTGATATTTCACAGAAACAAAGAACTGAATATCACATATTCTCACTCATAAGCAGACCTTGAACAACTCTCATAATACTATAAGAAAGTGATTAGCAGTAGTGGGAAACTGCCAGGGAGGGCCGGGGTGGGACCGGCATTAATGGAAGCTGCTGGTGGGGGGGCACACCTCATCAACAAGGGTACCTGAATAACGAACAGTTGTATATCTAACCCTGAATTGTACCTCACATATTTAAAATTTTTTTTAATTTAAAAGAAAAAATATTTTTACAGTCGTTAACAAAAAAGAAAGAAATGTATACATAAGAACCATGTATATACACATGTCTATATTCATTTTTCTATCAAACTGAAGACAGATGACAGATGAGATAGATAGATGATAGGTAGATAGATAGATAGATTCATATTGATATCTCTGACTCTAACCTGGCACTTCAACATTCATTCTAATCTTCCTTTTTTGCTTATTTGTAACTTCTGTGTTTGACGGTGTGCAAAATTTGCTCCCATTATCTACAATTTATTTACTCATTGGTTTAACCATAGTTTACATGTAAAGTAGTCTCAGAATTGCTAACCCTTACCCCTGTGAGAAACAAATTTACCAACTAGAGTACAGTGTTTATATGCAGTCTTGTATTCTTTAGACCTAAAACAGTTAAAACACTGTTTTCCAAAGTTACCTAGTTTCAGAACTCTTCCCTTGCCCCTTTAGCGAGGTCTTTTTGTCACAGTTTGAATCCCATCCTGGGATCCCTAAACATCCTAGAAATGATTTTTTTTTTAAATTTACATGCAATGAAGTTCACTCTTTGTGGTGTATGTTTCTATAGGTCTTGACAAATTCATGAAGTCATTATCCACTACTCCCTAGCACCACAGAGAACAGCTTCACTGACCCAAAATGGAACTTGTGTTGCTCCTTTGTAGTCAATTTGAACTCTTAATTCCTGACAAGCACTGTTTTCCATCCTCATAGTTTTACTTTATCCATAATGTCATATATATGAAATTGTATACTGTGTTATCTTTGGGATCTGGCTTCTTTCATTTAGCAAAATGTGTTCAAGATTCATCCATGTTGCTGAGGAAATCGATACTTTACTCTTTTCATTGCTGAGTAGTATTTCATTGTATGGCTATACCACAGTCTTCTTATACATTGCCAAGTTGAAAGACAACCTGGTTGCCCCCAGTTTTTAGTGACTATGAATAAAGATTCTATAAACATTGGTGAGCTTGTTTTTGTGATTTGCTTAAACAAATATACAGGAGTGTGACTATTGGTTTATATGATAAGTCTTTGTATAACATTAAAAGAAACTGTCAAACTGCTTTCCACAGTCACTGCACCATTTTTCATTCCCACCAGTGACAAATGAAAGTTTTTATTCTATGTCCTCATCATCATTTCGTGTTGTCTGATTGATTTTAGCAATTCTAATAGGTAGAAAGTGATAGCTAATTATAGTTTTAATTTATACTTCCTTAGTGACAACTAATGGTGACTGTCTTTTCATAAGCTCATTTACCATTTGTACAACTTCTTTGATGAAGTGTCTGCTTAAATAATTCACACATTCATAATTGGGTTGCTTGTTCGTTTATTGTTGAATTTTAAGAGACCTTTATTCCGGATGCAAGGCTTTCATCAGACATGTGATTTGTGAATATTTCTCCCAATTTGTGGCTTTTTGTTCTCTTAACAGGTGTCTTTCAAAGAGCGAAAGTTTTAAATCTTGATCAAGTTAAATAAATCAGTTATTTTTCATTCATAATTGTGCTTTTGATACTGTATCTAAAAATGCATTTCCAAACACAAGGCCCTGCAGATTTTTTATGTTTATGTCTAGAAGTTTTACAGTCTTACTTTTTACATTTAGAACTTTGATCCAACTTGAATTAATTTTTAAATAATATATGAGGCACAAGTCCTTCAATATATCTTGTTTTATTTTTATTATTTCTCACATAGACAGTCATAGTTACAATGCCATTTGTTGAAAACACCATTATTTTTCCATTGAATTGCATTTGTATCATCATAAAAATTCAGTTGACTACATTTTTGTGGGTCTATTCCTGGGCTCTCTATTCTGTTCTATTGATTTATGTGTCTATCTTGACACCAATACCATTCTGTCTTGATTACTACAGCTTTGTATTAAGTCTTAAAATGAGGTTGTTTGGGCCCTTTAGTTTTATTATTTTTCTAAATAGATTTGTCTATTCTAGTCTCCTTGTTTTTCCATACATGTTTTAGGATCATCTTACTGATATTTTCAAAGCAACTTTCTGGGATTTTGGTTGGGATTCCATTGAATCTGTAGATTAATGCTTAATAATACTAAATCTTCAAATCTGTGAACATGGTATATATTTTCCATCTATTTAGATCTTCTATTTCATGTTTTATAGTTGTCAAGATATAAATACTGCACATATTTTACTAGATTTAAATTGAAGTATTTCATTTTTGTGTGGGCTATTGCAAATGGTATTTTTAAAATTTTAAATTCAATGTTCTATTCCTGTTATATAAGAATAAGAATGGCTTTTTCCATATTTACATTAAATCTTGCAAATTTGCTAAACAGGTGTTTTGTTTTGTGAGTCAGGATCTCACTTTGTCACCCAGGCTGGAGTGCAATGGCATGCTCACGGCTCACCACTGCCTCAACTTTCTGGGATCAAGTGATGCTTACATCTCATCCTTCTGAGTAGCTAAGACTACAGGTGCACAATACTACACCTGGCTAATTTTTTTTCTTTTTGTAGAGACAAGGTCTCACTCTCTGGCTTAGGCTGGTCGCAAACTCCTGTCCTCAAGCAATTCTCCTGCCTCAGCTTCCCATGGTGCTAGGATTACAAGCATGAGACACCATGTCAAGCCTAAACAGATATTTCTGAAGAGCAAAAAGACACTTAACCTGTTCCTGTTTTCTCACTGGTTAGTAAAATCTCCATTTCAAAGCATTTTGGAAAAGATGCTTGAAGAATAAACATTTTCTCATATTATAGACAGTTCACAAACCAAGACCCATAAACGGCTCCTTAACATAAGAATAGATGCTCAACTAGCTTGAAATTGAAGCTGTGGTGAGATACCTTGTTTCACCTCTCAGACTGCAAATATTGAAAAGTTTGATAACACTGGGACTGAATGGGCAGTGGGGAAAGAGCCCCATCTTCTCAATACAAGTCCATATGGAAGGACATTTGGCACGATCTAGCAAAATTACAAAATTATACTCTTTGACCAATTTCATTGCCAGGAATTTATCCTACAGATATTCTTGCAAAGGCAAAAATAACATATGTGCAAAATTATTCATTATAATGTTTATAATAGAAAAATAACTTAAATATGCAACAATACATCATTGGTTACAGATGTTACAAATGCACAATGTAATACTATGCAAACTTTAAAATAGATTTCAGCAAATTTTGCATTATTAGCGAATGGAATTTAAAATAATATAATGATTAGCTATGTGTAACCAACAATAAACTCTACTAAGATCTCCAGTGAGAATTATTTTCAAATGTGTCATTAAATCTGAACATGGAAATAGACGGACCTTGAAACCAGCTCTTTATTCATTTGCTAAGTGTTAAACCAAAGTTTTCACAAATAATGAAATCATGTTGATCTCACTAAAAATATTTTATTAATAACAATTTAATGATAGCAAGGTAATATGCTATTAATTCAAAATTTTAATTTCACCTCTACCTCATCCATTTTTAAAATTTACTTTTGTGTATGTTTATAATTTACATAGCACATTAGCTCAGAGGTCCAGGGGTGTGATTTATAATTTATACCTGCTGGGGGTCCATGTTTAACTTTCTTGATTGAGGGAATGTGTGATAAAATTTGGAGAGTTCTGCTTTAGAGAAGAGCTCTCACTTGAATGGGAGGCGCTGGCCACATTGTGTAGTAAGGAGTACTGTTGAGGAGAGAAAGGAAAACAAAAAAATCAGTAGAAAAGAGGTAGAGAAAGAAAAAAAGGATGGAGTTATCATTGCCTCAGAACACAAGAGTGTAGGATGTTGTGGCCTTAAGTCCCAAGAAGTAGAATTTTAGCATCTCCAGGCAGTTGGACACAAAGGAGTTAAGAATTTTACTTTCTCTAAGAATCTAAAGAAAGGTTCTTGAGCAAGGAAAAGGTCACCGTGCATTGTAAGAATCAGACATATCTTCAGGGAGTGCAAGAAGCTCATGTGAGCTGCCAGTCACTAACTTAGTAAGTAGGACACCGTTTCTTCCATAGAATTACCTGAGTGATCACTCTCCAGGGCAGGCAACAGGAACTTGCCTTTTCAATAAGAACTAAATTACTCTGATGAAGCCATATGCCGCCCCCCCCCCCAAAACCAGCAATGGTAACCTTGTGACTGAAAGGATTTAGAACATTATGCTTGGGGCTGCTATTGCTGTGGAGTTCTGTTTTGACTTGTTTGAGACCAGTAAGAGTCTGAAGAAGGGATGGAAACAATTTTATTTGTAAGCTTTGCATCTTAAGCCTGATTTGTCTGCCTCTCAGCACCTAGCACAATGCTATACACCAGATACTGGTGTGCTTTTCCTGTCAAGTGCCAGATAATAATATTTTAGACTTTGTGGTCTCTACAGTCTCCAAAAGAGCTACTCAGCTCCTCCATGGTAGTGGGAAAGCCGCCACAGACAACATATTATCAAGTGAATGCAGCTGTGTTTCAATAAAATTTTGCTTTCTGGGTGCGGTGGTTTATACTTGCAATCCCAACACTTTGGGAGGCCGAAGTGGGAAGATTGCTTGAACTCAGGAGTTCAAGAACAGCCTAGACAAAATAACAAGATCCTATCTCTATGGAAAAAAAAACAAAAACCACAAATTAGCCAGTTGTGGTGACACATACCTGTAGTCCCAGCTACTCCAAAGGCTGAGGCAGGAAGATAGCTTGAGCCCAGGAGTTTGAGGTTTCAGTGAATTATGATTGTACCACTGCACTTCTGAGTGACAGAGTGGGTGCCTCAAAAAAAACAAAAAACTTTACTTACAAAAGCAAGCCTAGTTTGTCAACTTTTGCTAGTCAGGTATTTAATAATCTACGTTCCCCCATGCCAAATGATGCAGTCAATTACCTTATTGCTTAGTTACTTTAAATCCCCCATTGTGACTCCCTACTTTGGCATTGCTGAACACTCAGCAGAGTTTTGGGTCTTTCAAGGGAGGACTCTAGCCCCAAGAACAGAAACTTATAACTTGGGAAATTTCTAGGCAAGTGCAGAAAATGATACTGATGCAAAGATATATGAACATCGGGTTCAGTTTTCTGAACAATTATCAGAAATGTCACTTCATCTCGTCCCAGGATGGTTGTTATATCTGGGGAAGGTATATTAAGAGAGGAAGAGATTGTGGAAAACCAAGAGTTGGCAAAAGACAGAGCTCTTCACCCTACTCTGAGTTTAAATAATCCAGCGGGGGTCTGTTTATCACCTCTCCACACCTACTACCTGACACTTTTCTCCTCTTGGGACCCAGCATCACCCATCTCTTGCTCACCAATCAGATGCCAGACTTTTAGGAGGCCCTGCTGTAGTAGTGGGGTGGGGGAGACAGAAGAACATTGTATTTGCAATATAAGATTAAAATCTGATATTTTTGAGCAATGCTTCCACATTTGGAAAGGTATCAAGAAAAGATATTGGGAAGAAAGATAAGGTGCTTAGTCCTTTCTCTTCAATAACCCTCCAAACAATAAATCATAACGTTGTCCATACAAGTCTCCCAGACTTCATCTCTGGCTGAAATGGGGTGTCTGTTACAGCACATACAGATGATCCTTGAACAACTCAGAGGCTAGGGGCACCAACCCTGCTTGGTCGAAAATCCACACATATTGTTTGACTCCTCAAAAACGTAACTACTAATAGCCTTTGGCTGACAGGAAACCTTACAGATAACATAAACAGCTAACGTATGTTGTATGTTCTATGTATTATATACTATATTACAATAGCATTAAAGAAAATGTTATTAAGCAAATCATGGGAGCCAGGTGTGGTGGCTCAAGCCTATAATCCCAGCACTTTGGGAAACTGAGGCGAGAGGATTGCCTGGGCTCAGGCGTTCGAGACCAGCCTGGACAACTTGGCGAGACCTTGTCTCTACAATAAATCCTCTCCCCCCAAAAATTAACCAGGCATGGTAGTGTGCACCTGTAGTTCCAGCTACTTGGAAGGCTGAAATGGTGGCCATGAGAATGCGACTGTATTTCAGCCTGGGCAACAGAGTGAGTTTCCAACTTAAAAAAAGAAAAAAGAAAATCACAAGGAAGAGAAAATGCATTCACTGTTCATGAAGTAGTAATGGATCATCATAAAGGTCTTCATCTTTGTCATTGTCATGTGGAGTGTCTGAGGGGGAGGAGGAAGAGGAGGTTGTGATCCTGCTGTCTCAAAGATGGCAGAAGCAGAAGAAAATCCACGTATGCGTGGGCCCCTGTGGTTCAAACCTGTGTTGTTCGAGGGTGAACTATATAAGGAACGTTTCACCCTTAGAAATTTTTTCTATTCATAGAGTTGAAGTAGGAATCCTAGAAATGTCCCCTGGGTTCCACCTGGGTATCAGAAAAGGAGGGTGGATTTCTTTTCTGGCTGGATCCTAGGAATGGAACCATGACTTTAAAGTTCCTGTGTAGAAAAGCACTGATGAAAGTGACTGCAGTCTCGTCCCTGCTTTACTTTTCCCTGGTGGGGAGTTCTGAATGATCGCAAGTGACAGGAAGCATCTAGGCAGGGCCGTCCACACCTGCAGCTGGCAGGTTTGGGCACAGACGCCATTGTAGAGTCAATCAGGATTGTCTGACTCAGTCTCCTGATCTCTGACAGGTTCTGCCTCCAACGGACTTAGGGAATGAAGGCTGCGGGCATTTTGGCCCTGATTGGCTGTCTGATCACAGGTGCTGAGTCCAAAGTCTACACTCGCTGCAAACTGGCAAAAATATTTGCAAGAGCTGGCCTGGACAATTACATGGGCTTTAGCCTTGGAAACTGTAAGGGTTTTTCCTTCCTGTTCTCTTTCTATTCCTGATCTCCCCTCTGTGACATTGAAGGTCCCAGCTGGCCACACTCCCTGCTGTTCATTCCCAGCTTGTCCACACTCTGCCCCCTTCCTGGGGATGGCTGCTGGGTATTCACCTATGCTCTTCAACCACTGACTTCCCTTCCTTATTCCTGGAGTCCCCTACTTATGATACCAGCAAGAGAAGGGGAAGACAATGTCGTCCCTGCTGACGTTGCACAGGACGACCTGCCTCTTGGTCTAGACTAGGTGGTGCCACTGACTAGGTGCAGCTCTGAGAATGCCACTCCTGCCCTCCTGTGCCCCTCATGTGCCCCTGAGTGCACCACCTTCCCTGCCCCCCTTCAAGGCTTGTCCAGGAGGAGGCAATTAGGTAACATAGATAAGGAAACTGGCAGCTCAGAACAGGCTTTAAGAAACACAACGCTTTCTTTTCCTGAAATTTCTGTCTCTCCCCCTCTAGGGATCTGCATGGCATACTATGAGAGTCACTACAATACCACGGCTCAGACGGTCCTAGATGATGGAAGCATTGATTACGGCATTTTCCAGATAAACAGCTTCACGTGGTGCAGACAAGCAAAGCAACAAGAGAAGAACCACTGTCATGTTGCTTGCTCAGGTACAGTTTTGATTTTCCAAAAATGTCATCTTTGGGGACAAAGGCAAGGAAGCTGACAACAGAATGTCTATCCATTTTCTGCGTTAACTAAAATTTGGAATTCAGGTTTGCTAGCAGGTCTCTTCTGGGCCTTTAAGTTATTCCACAGTTCTTCCAGGTGATACTCAAGATCCAGCATCCTACTTGTTCAAATATGACTTATTCCTTGTGGATTGTTTTTGTTAAGCCCTCCACAACAATAGAGGGATGAACAAATGACTCTCCCACCCTTTCTGTACAGACATTTGGTATCTTCAATAAGATGCTTTCCATAAGCAAAGATGTGGTATCTTCAATAAGATGCTTTCCATAAGCAAAACGCTCAGAGGATGCAGTTTGTGCTTCTTGGTGCAGAATGAGACAAATGAATCCACTTTACTTTTCTTACACAGTTAAAATTAAGCTGGAATTCTTTCCAAGTTTCCTACCTAAATCATTCAAGGAATGCACATGTGCACGGCATTGAGGACAACAAAATGCATCAGACAAGAATCCTGCTTTGCAAAGCCTCTATGCAATGAGGAAAGAGACTATGTGCTTACGTAAAGTTAAATAAATGACTGCAGACAGCTGTGGATGAAGTGCTGTGGGCTTCAGAGGAAAGTGATAGTATTAGGAACACCTTGCAAAGTTCTGTAGACACAGTGATATTTGCCTAGGGACTTGGAAGATGGATAGAATTTGGGTAGAGATAGCGAAAAGTCATTGCAGGCCCGGGAAAGAGCAAAAGCAGAGAGATGTGGATGAGAAGGTCTAGGACACAGACATGGAGGAGTGAGATATTTGCCTTATCTGGAGCAAGGCAGAGGTGAAGAGAACCACAGAAAGTGTGGTTGGAAAGGCAGACTGCTCCTGAGCATGAAGGAGCCAGGCCAGGAGCTTGGACTGGAAGCCAGGCCAGGAGCTTGGACTGATTTCCGACTACAGCTGAAGCCAGTAGAGGTCAGCTAATTCAGCCTTGCATCAGAAAGGTTCATCTGTAAGCAGGGTGTGGGGTGCATTCAAGAGACCATTTAAGTGCCACTGTAACTCTTGAAGTAAAAGCAGAAATGATGACCCAATGATGGCCACAGCTGAGGACATGGAAAAGAAGGTACTAATGCAAGAGGTCCTGAGCAGGCAGAAGGACAGCACTCAGGAAATGCTGTCTTTGTTTGCAGTCTTAGAAAGTAAGCCCCCATGAGGGCAAAGAGTTTTGTCAGTTTCATTCCCTGATATACCCTCAGTGCCTAGAATGGTGTCTGATCATTGTAGAAGCTCAATAAATACTTATTAAATAAATGGATGGGGAGAATGAGAAACAAGGGTGAAGACAGAGAGTTATAAAATATTATATGGCAGCCTCTTTGGGAGCAGGAAATAAACTGTATTTAATTTTGCTTTGCCACATACAACAATCCCCCCTTATCCAAGGAGGACACCTTCCAAAACCCTCGGTAGATTCCTGAAACCACAGATAGTACAGAATCCTAGAAACACTAAGGTTTTTTTTTCCTATATATGCATACCTATGATAAAGTTTAACGTATAAATTAGGCACAGTAAGAGGTTAACAACAATAATAAAATAGAATGACTATAGCAATATACTGTAACAACAATAATAAAAGAGAATGACTATAGCAATATACTGTAATAAAAGTCATATGAATGTGGCTTCTCTCTCTCTCAAAATATGTCATATTAATATAACTAATCGAGCTCGGTTGACCATAAATGGAACCTTGGAGAGCAAAATCGCAACTAATGGGAACTGCTGTATAAGATGATCAGTATAAATGTTTGAATGCATGAATTATTAACCAATATATGAATTTAGCTAGTAAATTTCCACTACACCTACATTAATACAGAATGGACACTACCTCACGAGGTTGAACTCCCACTGTTGACCAGCCCTTCATTTAGAAAATTATTTTCTTGGGCCAAAATCTTCCTTCTTATAGAAATTCCATTAATTCTAGTTTTTCCTTCTGGATTTTTTTTTAATTTGCTTTATTTTATACATAGAAAAGTATTAACTGTTTATGAATGATCAATAAGTATTTTTCATCTTGTTTCTTATCCTCTGGGCCAAAGCATTCAGTATCTTTACTTCCCTACAGATATGACTTTGGAGTCCTTCCCTGAACTGGTCTATCTCTTTGGCATTCTCTAAGAGCTTGTCAGTTAAATATGGAGATTAGAAATGTGCATTAACCTTCCACAGTGGGCTGAGTAATGATCTCCTAGAATGTTCTCTTTCTAATCCCAAAAACCTGTGACTATGTTACCTGACATGGCAAAAGGGACTTTGCACATGTAACTAAGGGTCTGCACTTGAGTAGGATAGATTATCCTGGACAATATGAGTGGACCCAAAATAATCACAAGAATCCCTAAAATGAGAGAATCTTGTCTGGCTGTGGTCAGAGAGAGATCTAATGACAGAAGAAGGAAAGATTCAGAGTGTGAGGGGGACTCAACCCACCAATGCTGGCTATGAAGATGAAGTAAGGAGCCATGAGTCAAGGATTTGAGTGGCCCACAGGAGCTGGAAATGGCCCTCAACTGGCAACCAGCACACAAACAAGAATCTCAATCCCTATAACCACAAGGACCTGAATTCTTCCAAAATCTAAATAAGCAAGGAAGTGGATCCTCCCCCGAGCCTCCAGAAAGGAACACAGACTTGCCAACATCTTGACTTTAGCCTGCAAATCCTTTGTCACTCATAAACCTATAGAACTGTAAGAAAATGTTGTGTTGTTTAAAGCCCCTAAATTTGTGGTGTTTTGTTACAGCAGCAATAGGAACCTAATACACCTCTCCTTTACCTTGATGTCCTACTAAATTAACAGCAAAGGGATCTGAGAATCAACAAGATAAAAAGGAATGGATTCACAAAAACAAAGTAAATGGAAGAGGAAACAATACCCCCCCCCAAAAAAATTTAGAAGCTGGAAAGAAGGAAGCAGGTGGTGACTAACTCAGTGGTTAGAGAAATATGAATCCTAAACCGGTGGTGGGAAAGCCAAGAAGCAACCATGGTGCCTCAAAAAACTCAGAAATCAGTAGCATCAGCTACTTCTGGAAGTTGGAGATAAGGCAGGTTAAAAACAGGAGAATCAATTGAAAATCCAGTTCAGGAGCAGTCAGGCCATCAGATTCCCTCTGTGCCTCCATTCACCTATTGACTGTCCCTCCCAACCCTGGAAGAATAATGGGACTTTCTCCTCTGGACATAACAAAGTAGGAGTCTCTCAACAAAAAAACCTCAACGACCTGTGAGAAGGAGAGTGCCTGTTTAAAGACATGGCAGATTGGGTTAAAGTTTCCATAGTGCCAACCACTTTTCCACTGAGATTCTGGAATGATGGTAACTGGGCTAGACTCTTCAGATGAGATTTTCTTCTAGAAATCTGGTCAGATGACATGGAAATAGTGAAAGATTTTGAGTGTGACTCCCCATGAACAAGACTGGTCAAGCCTCCCTACAATGAGAGCCAAAACTGAAAATCCTACCTCTGTGCACAGACTTTCTGTGCATCAGCTTTTTTAGTGTCCCTCTCTTAAAGGTGCAGATAGCCAAGGATAGCCAGAGGAGTATCATTGACAAAGAGATTCCCTGCCAAAAAGATAAAACTGGCTGAAAGCAGAGGCTATGCAAGAAAATGAAAACTTCAGATAAAAAATTATCATCAATATCTTCAGATAGATAAGAGGATATAACAAAACAAGACTTTTTTTAAAGAACAAATTAAACATTCAAAGAACCAGCTAAAGTGCCCTTGTAAATTAAAAGTATTGTAGCAGAAATAGAAAATTTGATAGATTACTTAGAAGATAACATTGAGAAAATCTCTCTAAAAGAAGAATAAAAAAAGAAGTAGATGGAAAACAAGAGAAATGATAAAATAAATGGATATTAAAAAATACAACTTTAAGCAGGAGAAAAGAGAAACATTATGAAATCTTTTTTAAAAATCCAGAACTGAAGGGCATGTGATTCTAATGTATAATTTTCATCACATGACCAGAACAGTACCTTCCCCCATCACAGTTTCAGTTTCAGCAGTTTCAGTTACTTGTGGTCAACTGTGAATTAAAAAAAAATATATTACATGGAAAATTCTAGGAATAAACAATGTATATCCTTTAAGTTGCATGCCATTCTGAATAGCATGATGAAATCTTGCCATTCTCCTCTGTCCCACCCATGGCATGAATCATCCTTTTGTCCAGTGTATCCATATGTACACATATGCCACCTGCCCATTAGTCACTTAGTAGCAGTCTCAGTTATCAGATCAAAAAACATAGTATAGATAGAACTCAGTACTATCCACTGTTTCAAAAATCTACTGGCAGGGGGGTCTTGGTATATATCCCAAAGCATAAGAGGAAACTACTTTCCAAAGTAGACTATACAATATATTCCCCAAGGATAAGAGGAAACTACTGTACAATTTAGACTCACACAAAGGTACAGTTTTGTGGAATGTCAGAATAATAGAGTGAAACAGAATACACAACAGGCTTCCATGAGAGAGGAAAAAAATTCCATACAAAAGATCAAGTATCAGAGCGACATCAGACTTTTCAGTCCCAATGCTGGAAGCTAGAAGAAAATGGAGCAATGTCTTCAGACTTCTGAGGAAAAATCACTTGCAATCTAAAATTTTGTACTAGTCAAATCATCAATACATTTTGAGTGCAGAATGAATACACTTTTAGACAAGCAAGCTTACCTCCTATATCATGAATCCTAGCTGGAAAACATAGTAAGCATAAACTGTAATTTGAGGAGAATTTTAATAAAGGGGCTGCTTACAAAGGTGAGATCAAATTATAGGCAAATCATGGGGAAAGTGAAGTGAGGGACTGGAACAACAGGCAATACATATATCCCAACAACACTGTCTTTCCTCCCTTTCTTCCCTGCTGGTGCCCACTCTTATGCAAGCCCTGCCAGAAGTTAGA